ACACCAGAGCTAACATTAACTTAAGAGACCTGGTACGTACACCAGATCTTACATTAGCTACAACAATCCTGGTAGAGACACCAGAGCTAATATTAGCCACAACAATCCTGGTAAAACCACCAGAGTTAACAATAGCTACAACAGTCTTGTTGGAGACACTAGAGCTAATGTTGAGTTTCAATAGTCCTGGTACAGACGCCAGAGCTAACATTAACTTAAGAGACCTGGTACGTACACCAGATCTTACATTAGCTACAACAATCCTGATAGAGACACCAGAGCTAACAATAGCTTGTTGGAGACACTAGAGCTAATGTTGAGTTTCAATAGTCCTGGTACAGACGCCAGAGCTAACATTAACTTAAGAGACCTGGTACGTACACCAGATCTTACATTAGCTACAACAATCCTGATAGAGACACCAGAGCTAACAATAGCTTGTTGGAGACACTAGAGCTAATGTTGAGTTTCAATAGTCCTGGTACAGACACCAGAGCTAACATTAACTTAAGAGACCTGGTACGTACACCAGATCTTACATTAGCTACAACAATCCTGGTAGAGACACCAGAGCTAATATTAGCCACAACAATCCTGGTAGAAACACCAGAGTTAACAATAGCTACAACAGTCTTGTTGGAGACACTAGAGCTAATGTTGAGTTTCAATAGTCCTGGTACAGACACCAGAGCTAACGTTAACTACAACAGTCCTGGTACGGACACCACAGCAAATGTTAGTTTCAACAGTCATGGCACAAACACCAGAGCTAATGTTAGCTTTAATAGTCCTGGTATAGTCACCAGACACCATGAAGTTTACCAATTATTGTGATTATTTGTAATCATGGGGCAGTGGTGGGTTGGTGCTTAAGGAAGCAAACTTGGGTTTCAGGTTGGAATCCACAAGCTGCTAAGTTACCACTGAGGTGCACTGAGGACAGCACCATGCCCATACACTGGTCTCTGACAGATGAAGCACCCATCTGTCCCGCGCTTACTGTGGTAATGGGTAAAATGCAGAGGTAACATTTCGTTGAGTGTGTAGTGGTTTGCTCTGTCACAATGACAAGTAATTCACTTTCACTTAATCACCTCCCCACACTAGATAGAAAAAAAACTGACATGTCTCTGATGTGAGAAAATCCATTGATTTAGCTTTACCTCATCAGCTGGAGTCACACTTGCAGTGTCTGGAGTAGACACAACAGAGTTTTCTGGAAAATAAAAGAACCAAAAATTGTTGATTTTAGAACCATTTGCTGTAATTACAAAGAAAAATGGAATTTAAATATTGTACATTTCTGATCAGACTGAGGGCAAACGCAGAAGTTCAAAAAATATTTCTTTACCAGGGCTACTGTCTTTCTCCTTCCTCGGCTCCAGATCCCCAGAGATGCCTCTCTCTTTAGACTGGTCCTGAACGTTCATCTTTTCCTTGCTGCTCATCCTACACACCGAGGTCCTGGAGGTATATAATGCATTAAATATTTCACCTCAGATTATAACAAATGTATTCATTATTTGGAGGCTTGTGGTGTGGCAATGTTCAACAGCACATGTGCTCAGAGTCAAGAGTTTGACTATTAGTTCACAACCACTGATGGGCAACAACGGGTTGAACGTAACATGTTACTGTGATCCGATTACTTTTATCAAGTAATGAGTAAAGTAAGGGATTACAATCGCAAAAACGGTTCAGATCACTGTTGCTTTCCTTCAGATAGGCTCCATTACTGAGTTAGTAATCCGTGAATTTGTTTGTATAATTCCGGCGCATCGATGTTGATTTGTTTCATGTTAATAATTTGGAATAGAGCCAGGAGAGACTTTGACTTTAATTTTTTACTTCTTTATTGTATTATATTATTATATATTATAAACACAAAAAATAATTGGAATATGCAGAAATATGCATATAAATATAGAATATGGTAACAGAAGAAAGACTTGCTTTCTTTTATTGAAATATGTAGGATGTGCAAAAAAAAAAAAAGTTAAATGTTCAATAAAATTGAATTTTATTGTTGATGCAATGTGCATAGAGTTTAAAGATTGAAACTAATTAAAACAAGGTTTGAAGAGAAAGAGACAGATGCATTTGACTCAATTTTATATGATGGAATATGAATAAAGTTACGTAATCATTTAAGCAATTAATTACTTTTGAATACAAGTAATAAGTAATGTAACTGTAAACAATAACGAATTACTATTTTCAAGTAACTCGAGCAACACTGTTCACAACAGGTCGTGACCTTTCCAAGGTCCAAATTTAGTGGTGTAGACTGGACTAGTTTATATAATAAATGTAGACCTAAGGTGTGTAATTTAACTGACCTTCGTTTTTTGTTCTGAGTATTTGGAGCACAGGGACCTTGTTGGTTTTGTCTCTCCAGTAAGGATCGTTCCTTACGCCACTGTTAGAGGTTAAAGACAAATGTCCAGAGTCAATACAACAGGTTTTGTGTATTCCTACACAGGTGAGTGACCACTTTCTCACATTGACTTGTTCCTGTGATAGCTCTTCCAGCAGCTCCTCCACACTTTCATCAGCAACGTCAAACGGTGTCTGCCCCTGTAAAAAAAAAAAGTCATGGTTTAAAGTCTTGCCATGCAGTAAACCCAGGAAATTAACATTTCCGAGAACACCCTGAGAAAAACTTCACTTGTTTTATTTAATCTGGCAATAATTCAAATGCGATGATACATTTACAGACATTTCATTTCCAGCTATACCTGCATCTTATCACATTACAGGTGTTTCTTTTGTTCTTACCGCATTACTGAGGACTTCCATGTTACACAGGTGTTCAGCAAGAATGCGACAGGCTTCTCCCTGACCCCAGTGTGCCGCTGCATGAAGAGGTGTCCAGCCATCAAAGTCCCTCGCCGACACATCAAGGCCACACTGACAGAGAATTCTGCAAAAGGAAAACAATGTCAAATTAACCAAACTCTCTACCTGGGAAAAGGTACTGCAGGTTTTAAAATGAACAAGTCTTAAGATCTCACTTGAGGGCTTCTAAGTAGCCTTTGGCTGCAGCCACATGCAGCGGGGTTGCTCCTGTTTTTGCATGTCGGATATTAGCAGGTGTACCGTCATTCAGCCAGGTGCGGGCGTCTTTTATGATCTGTTCCTCCTCCATCCTTTTTGCTGCATTCAAGTCTACGCCTAGACACAAAACACGGGAATATTAAAAAAAAAAAAAAGAAGCCAAAGCATGGTTGGAGTTCTCCCCCGTGCTCTCCTCTTCAAGAGGCAACTTCTAAAATTTTTTAAAACTCCAGTTGCACTGCATACCTCGTGTCAAAGTATAATCCTGGAGAAGAGACTCCGTGTTTTCATCCAAAGCTATGTCCAGGGGAACGTCACCGTCACAGTTGACGGCAGAGAGAGAAGCGCCTTTCCTCAAAAGGAAGCTGACACAAAGCACAGGCATGATGAGAGAAATAAAAGTGTAGGACAAAAGAGACAAAATAAAGAAAACTTCCAATGCCAACACTGATCTCCACTATAAATTCAAGTCAATTTTTAATGAAATTGAAATGGTATTAACAACACAAAGTAATTAACAATAGTTAGGAAAAGCACCACCATAGTTAATAAGTGACTTTTCACCAATCGACAGATAGCACAAACTTATGCTTCCAATGTAAACAGTATTCTATCAGGTGAAAAAAAAAACTAAAAGAAAAAAGCTCATTGTCACAGATCAGTCCAAACTTCAGTGGTAAAAGTTAAAGAAAAAGAGAGAGCATGCTCCACAGAAATCACAACAGAAAACTTTTCCAGCTTAACTACGAATGCATCGTACCAACACCTGTATTTGTATCAGTATTGATGCTGATACTTTATTCAAATACTCATACTCACAATGTTGTGTGAAAAATAAACCCTAATCTTAACACTGCTCACCTTACCGGTCAAAGTCAAAACAGGCATGTAATAGAGGTTTGATCTTAGTCAAGTTGGATTACGATTGGCAATGATCTGTGTTGGAAATTGTTTCAATGGGTGATATCATTGACTGCTGATTGACTAGCTGCCACCCTGAAAGTTATTTAAACACTTTGTGATTATGAAGCAGAGCAGCAAACCCATATGACGTCTTTGTCACGCTGGACATTGTTCCAGTGACCAGTCACTGTTCGGCACATTCTTATCTTAAAAAATACACGGCACAATTTTGTGATTGACAAAATATGACAGACCTAACAACTGAATCAATTGTACTTTTCTGTGAGTTTACACTGTACAGCCCACTCAGGCTTCAGCTGACCCACTACCGAGCCAACCACAGCAACTACAATGTTAGCACTGTTAAATGTAGAAATTCTCCGCCGCCCACGCTGAGCTCTGACGTACCTAAATGGCAAAAGACTTCTGTGTTTCACACACTGCTATATATTATTCTATGTATACAGACTTTATACCACATACTCTGCAATGTCAGAGTAGCCGCAGGAAGCAGCAACATGCAGCGGCGTCCAACCCTCACTGTCGACCTGGTTAACATCGGCACCGTGCTCTAAAAGGAAGGTCACCATCTCCATGCTGCCATCGATACAGGCCTGTGGACAGCACAGCAGAAAATGTATCAGTTTATGTCCCTTTTTTTTTTTTTTCGGTTAACAGTAGAAAAGGCGACTAGAGGAGAAACGGTCACACCTGGTGTAGTGCTGTGATTCCATCTGCATTAGAGCAGTTAATTATTTCTCCCACGTCTTCTCTGTTCCTATTCTTTGAGTCATCCTCTGCCTCCTTCAGCATCACGTAGGCCTCCTCTGTGTCTCCACTCGCACAGGCAGCCAGAAACTCTGCCGCCCGGTCAAACCTGACAGATTTTCTTAGGACACACAACATAGGCAGCTTAGCAACATTACTTGTATGAAATTCACCAAACAGAAATATGGGCTAACAGTCCCAAATAAAGAAAAAGCAGTGGTGGTTCTCAAATTGAGGGAACAACTCAACACCACCAACTCATCGTCCCATAAATGGAAATCCGTGAAACATGCACCTGAAATCATTTTCATATTTCGTCAGTTATTTCAATGGTTAACAAGTTGTTTGGCCTGCTTCCCCCAGGGACTCCAGATAACTATGGGTGAGGTACAAAATAAATGAAGAAAAAGAACAGCAGTTCTGGGGGGATATCTAAATAACCAAACTTAAGAAGATGGATTTGTTCCACAGTCAGTGAAAGTAGAAATCAATCAACTAAACCTAAAGTTTTAATTTTAATATTTTAAAATAGGTGGCGCTTTGGCCCAGAGGCAATGTCTCTGTCATTAGTGTGGAACCCCAGGGTTCACCTCCTGGGCAAGACTGAATCCTGGTTAGGGCGGTTGGTACCTTCCAGTGGACTCACCACCCGAAGGTTTAGGGCGATTTGACCTGCGACTGCTGCCCCCGTGACCCGGCAACGGAGAAGCGGATGAAAATGGATGGATGGATGGATGGATTTTAAAATAGAAGAGATTATTTTGTTTATTTTTATAACTTAATGACAATTCCCATCTATGTATGTAAGTGTAGGTACCAGTGTGTTTCAGATCTGAAGGATAAGGGGGTTCAGGTGTTTTTTCCAACATTTTCTTACAGCAATTATAAATGTACAAATTAAATTGGGTAAACTATGGGCTGGAAACATGGGGCTGACAGGGTGCATCTGCATAAATCGAAAACCTGACCATTTGGTTGTAAGATGGCCTCTACCCATTGGGACAGTCCTCGTGTAACAAAGATATATCTCCAGTTCCCACAATTATGTATTGGACACTAGTATTGTTAACAAACTTTAAAATATATTTCTATGCATTAGAATTTAATGAGATTGTAAAGTAATTATGTTCCAAAAGATATTAAATTATTTTTAACTTAGTAAAACAATTGTTCCCTGATAGTCATAAAAATACGTCGCCTCGTGTTTACAGGCTCATAACTTAAAAAAAATTTGAGCAATACATAAATGGTCTGAGACTATGGTGCAACTGTTGTGGTATTCCACAAAAACAATTCTTCTTCAACACGTTGCCGTGTTAAATTTGAACTCGTCGATTCTCATGTGCAGTGTGCGGGCAAACTTGCTTTACAATTTTTTTACGTGTTTGTCTTTTACCGTCGTTTGAGAAGGGGACTGACTTCATCCTGCTGCTCCCTTGGGGAGTAGCTCTGCTCGGCCTCGGGCTCCACCGCACCGTCGTCGGTAGCATCGCCTCGCCACCTCCGCCGGGGTACGGCGGACGCCTGGTCCGTGCAGGAGCCGGCCCAGCGCTTCAGCTGCTCCTGCCGCTTAGTCCTCGCCGAGTCCCCCATTAATTTACTTTGTGTTTAAAAAAGAAGACATAATAATAAGACGGAGGAAGGCACACCCTCCATGTGTGTACTTTCACTTCCTGGTTCTTGCTGTGGATGAGGAGGAGGAGGAAAAACCTCCGACTGACCGACGTCACTCGGAGACGCCCCCAAACCCTCTCTCCTCCCCTCCCCTCCCCTCTCCTCCCTCCCACACACACACACACACACTCTCTCTCTCTCTTTTGTTTGGTTTTGGGCCCCAGGAGGGAAATACTAAAATAACCGAAGAGCTCCTCAATTCACTTCCGGTCATTGTTCGAGTTCGGCCCCTGTCAGATTCTTAGGTGAGCATTTATTTGCACAATCCGTTTGTGTCCAATCCCGGCTACTTCACCATTCACTTCTCCACAACATTGGGATTCGATATTGTCTATTGCATACGTGTCAAACTCAAAGCCCGTGGGCAAATGCGGCCCGCCAAGCCGTTTTGTGTGGCCCGCCGAAGCCTAAACAGCATTTAGCAAAGTCCATGCAGCAGAGTTTATAATCAATCAAATAATAATCAATTGCAGAAACACGTATTAGTCTGTTATGGAGTAGTTACATCTATACCAGCGGCAGAGGTGGGTAGTAACGAATTACACTTACTCCGTTACATTTACTTGAGTAGGTTTTACAAAATAAAATACTTCTAGGAGTAGTTTTAAATCACTATACTTTTTACTTTTACTGGAGTAGTATGAAGAAAAACAGTACTCTTAATCCGCTACATTAGGCTATACTGAGCTCGTTGCTCGTTACAGAGATACTGGATAAAGCTCTAGCTATATTCTCTATTCTCTATAGATCTATGATCCAGTATCTCTACTTTTATTTTGTCAAAGAGTGACTTCCGCCCAAGGCTGTACCGCGTGACTGTAACCAATAAAATGTAGCCCTTGCTGCGCAGTCTCGTCACGTGACCATACTCGAGCTCGGCGGTGGGACCGATTAGGGCGGGCATACACTACGATTTTAGCCCGTTTTTGCCCCGATTTTTGAGATGCATGTCCTGGCGACGCTCGGTCGGATTTCATGTTTCGTCTTTTCCGTACAATAGCCTTCGCACAGTGGAAGCAGAGCCCAGAGCCGACCGGAGCATTTCTCCCTCAGTGCGCCTGCGCAAAGTGATAGTAACCATGGCGAGGCGTCGGTGGCATGAAAATATGGAGGTGAGATTGATAGAGCTGTGGCACTGTCCACAAAAAACGTAATAAATAAAAAATAAACGTACTGTCCACGTTTATTAAGCCATCTCCGACTCCTTCTTCTTTTTGAATAGCATGTTGCTAATAACCGGCGTCGAAGCTTTCAAATATATCTTTATTGGCAGCTGTCAATAGACAGGACAGTCTGCAGGGGCCGATGGGCCGTTTTCACCTGCACAGTGTGAGCTCTCTGGTCGTGTTCGATGATCGGACCGTACAGTGTGAGTACATAAATCGTGCGCTTTCTCCGTACATCACTCGTATCGTGTGTGATGGTATCAACGGCAAGATTTTTAAATCGTACAGTGTATGCCCGCCCTTAGGTTACATGAGGAGTCCGTGCTGAGCTCGATTTGCTTGTAGCCTCAAGGACGTGTTTTTATCCACAGGTCCAGAGGTTTGGAAGTTTTTGTTGTGCTGTACTGTAATTTAAGTTATTTAGTAAATATTTAATTCTTTATCTACTCTTTTTATTTCATTTATTTTTATTTTTTATTGAAGTAATTTAACTTACCTAAAGATTATTCTATTTAAATGTATTTAATTAATTAATTTTGTTTTATTATTTTGTTGATGGGATAAACTATCCTCTGTAATTTTGTTTATCTGATTGAATACACGTTAAAAAAATAAATCTAAAAAATAAATGTTACTCAACAGTTCCTCAGTACTTGAGTAGTTTTTTCACCATGTACTTTTTTGCTCTTACTCAAGTAATTATTTGGATGACCACTTTTTACTTCCACTTGAGTAATATTATTCTGAAGTAACAGTACTTTTACTTAAGTACAATTTTTGGCAACTCTACCCACCTCTGACCAGCGGTCCCCAAACTTTTTTGTTCCAGGGACTGGTCAGCCAGTACTACCCGTTACTACAGATTTTTGATTAGCTATTACTATTATAGAACTATTAAACTCAGAATAATATAGTCTGTTTATGCATGACATTAGGCTCTGTTTATTATTAAACACAATGTTATGTGGTGGTCCCTACTCCCTTTCTCCATAAAGGGAGATCTTGGCCTGAAAAACATCAACAACAATAAAACCCCTGATCCACTGAATTGCCAAAAACACATCGTGCCATCGTATTTTAAAATAACTAGGGTTTACAAATACAAACTTTATATAGGCAGCAGTTTATAATTGAACCCTTGTTGTAATTTAAGAGGATCAACGATTCAATGTCTCATTGCAGATAGATGGTTGTTCTAGATAAGAGTTAATCAAAAACATCAGTTCTGAGGCCATTGTTAAACCTCAGTAGTACACATTCCAACATGTGGGGTCAAATTCCACATGAAACCTTGATTCCCTGTGCACACTCTGCTACAGCTCATTACACTCTGTAACCGAGCAGGAGAGCCACTAACTGAAGTAAGTATGTCTTCCATTTATTAGTTTGTCTGACCATGAATACTTTTATTTTTACACTAAGAAATGCTAAAAGTTAAACTATGTACATGTTTCTACTTCTAAGATCCAGTAATACTATCCCGTAAAATATGAGAAACGTGAAGGGGAAAAACAATACTAAAAAAAGCAACATACCATTATTGGTCATAACAGGTAAGGAAAAATCAAGAAGTAAGTCAAGGAATAACCATATTATATAGTATAGAGATTCAGTTAGCCAAACCTAAACCAAAAACGCCAAAAGAAAGCAAACAAATAGTACAGAAAAAACTGTAAGTTAGTCTAAAGACACATACAGTATCTAAAAGATATCTGAAATACAGCCCTATGGATTTGATATATGGTTACATATGACTACATATAACTCAAGTTAGCCTCTCAAATGTTTAGTTGAAAACTAAACATTTGTAAGTCAAAAAAGCCATTAGCCCACCAAAACATGTAAATCAAATATTTACCAACTTTGGCTAACACAATTTACTCTCTTTCGTTTCGTTTGAATCCCATTGCCCTGCACTGTACAAACTGAACACTAACAATAGAATATGTTTTGAACTTTACCACACAGTTAAAACCAAAGAAACAGGCTTTAACTGTGTGGTTTGGGTCCCAAAGCTCAAACATTACCCCCATATACACATTACCTACTGTCCCGATCTCAAGTGAGGTTGGTCTGACACTTGACCAGTAGTGGAAACCATTTTTGGATGGGATGGTATTCTCATTCTGTAGCGCATGATTCCATGTACTGTATATTGATTGTGTATTAGGGCAACAGTATGTAAATAGACAGAGAAAGTATTGGATATACACATTTTGCCCATGTGTTAAAAATTTAAATCAGAATAATCTGATTATCTTAACAGGTTAACGGCAGGTTAATTTCTACCACCCTCATTTTTTTTCCCCAGAATGTCTCTAAAAATGGTAGCAGCAGCACATGTAATCCCACCTCACACTTTGACACAGCTGGCAAAACACTGGCTGGCAGAGGACACGCCCAACTTTGACCCTGCAGGAGTGTGTGTGGGCTCACAGGAGGTTGAGGCTAAGCTGCTATGTAAGACCCCCAACAGTATTCTGGCTGGGAGCCCCTTCTTCACTGCAGTGTTCACCGAGGTTGGCTGCACTGTGGACTGGATTTACCAGGAGGGCACAAACATTGGTAGGAGTTTACACTCACTTAAACACTCACTCTAAACTGCAACGGTGGCTCTAAACTAGACTGTGTCAAACACAGACTGGCTTCACACCAGAAAAAGACAATCATATTCTGACAATAGTTTTGACTCACTTTTGACATTTTAAGCCCATTTTCAGTCCTTCAACACTTTTAATGTCTGGTATATGCACTTTTAATGTTTGTGGTGGCTTGGTGGTTAAGGAAGCGATCGTGGGTCCAGAGGGTTTCAGGTTCGAGTCCACCAACTGTCATCACAGTGCACTGAGCATGGCACTGTGCCTGAATGCTCAAGCTGCTCGCTTGATGGGTTAAAAGAAGAGGCAACATTTCGTTGTGTGTGCAGTGGTGTGCTGTGTCACAATGACAAATAATTTACTTTTGCGTTTTCTTCAGCAGTTTTAAATGCCATTGTTTGTTTGCTTGTACAGAGAGGGACAGGGGCAGGCTGTTGTAGAGAGCCAGCTCAGTCCTAGACTGGACCTAGACTGTCCTCTGGACCTCTGGACCTCTGCACCACACTGTGGCTGCACTGAGCAGCTCCTTCAGCAGCTCTTATTATTATTATTATGATTATTATAGTCTTTTCTACCCTGTCTTCCTGCAAAGTCCAATATATTCTGCACTTATGCACTCTTCTCTCAAAATATCTCCTAATTAGTATTGCTATATTTAAAACACTGGCTAGGTATGTAATGCTACACTACTGGCTAGTGTAATGCAAGAAATGTGGTGGCGGTGAAACGAGAGTCAGACAGGTTGATGTGTGTGAAGGTAGAAGTAGAAGGAGTGATAATGTTGTCAGCGGTTATGCCCAACAGCTGGGCTGTGAGTTAGAAGAAAAGGAGAAGTTCTGGAATGAGCTGGATTGGATGATAGAGAGTATCACCAGGGGAGAGAGACTGGTGATTGGACACCGTCATGTATGGGAAGGGAACAGAGGAGATGAGGAAGTGATAGGTAGGTTTGGTGTTAGGGAGAGAAAATTAGAAGGACAGGCAGTAATAGATTTTGCAAAGAGAACGGAAATGGCTGTGGTAAACACCTATTTCCAAAAGAAAGAGGAACACAGGGTGACGTACAAGAGTGGAGGCAGGTCCACACAGATAGATTATATTCTATGTAGAAGATGTAATCTGAGGGAGATTAATGACTGAAAGGTGGTGGCAGGTGAGAGTGTAGCCAAACAACATTGCATGGTAGTGTGCAAGAGGACGATGGAGGTGACAAAAAAGGAAGAGAGTGAAGACAGAGCAGAAGATCAAGTGGTGGAAATTAAGGAAAGAGAAATGTTGTGAAGACTTCAAGAAGGAAGTAAGGGCAGTTCTGGGCCGTGTTGAGGAATTCCCAGATGATTGGGAGACTACAGCTGCAGTGATTAGGGAGACAGGTAGGAAGGTGCTAGGTATGTCCTCT